AAAAAAACGATTTGACCGATCCGACGTGGCGCGCCACGTCACACGCCACGTCGGATCGGTCAACTCGTTTTTTTGACCAAATAATGCTATGGACGAATATGGAACCGTTTAACAAGTTCAGGATTTAACGTGTTCAATTTTGCAAGTTTGGGAATTAATAGGCACTTCTACAAGTTTAGAAATTAATATTACTCCAAAATACAAGTTCAGGAATTTTTAGGGTTTTTTCCCTTTTATTTTTGTCAAACTATCACTAATTTATTTTAATACCCAACAATCCTTTTTGTTTATTATAATACATCGACTTTCATAAAAAAAAATATATGATAAGAATATATATGTTTTATTAAGCGATGATGTCACGCCTTAAATATAATTATTTATGTATTTTAATATTCGATTTCAATTTAGATATCTTTTAAATAGATGCTATACAGAAATACATGAGATTTTGAAGTATATTCTTATCATGGTATATTTAAGCATATCATGGCGTTTACCCTTTCCTTAAACCACGATTACAAGTAATGACATCGTTTTTATTTTTTTAATGAATTTTTGAAAACCATCAATTCAACTATATGGCGGATTACCCAAGAGACCGTAGCCGAGTCGTATAGCTGGTGAGAGGAGGTGGGATGTCTCTGTCCTAACTAGATCCCACGTTCGAGCCGCGGGTCGCGGGTTGGAGAGGAGATACGTAATTTAATTGCGAGATATAAAGATTACCTCCGGACCGTGAGAGATATAGTCGGGACAAATACCCCATGAACTCCCTAGTTAAAAAAAATTATATGGCTGATTTTGACAGATCTTTAAAAATATAACAGAATTAAAAAAAAGGTCATGGTACATTTAATTTATAAAAAATCATTAGTCCAATAACTATGAATTACAAAGAATAATTATTCATTCGGAAAAATTTGAAATCATATAATACTATTTTTCTCTTTTCTATATAGACTACATTTTTAGCCAATTGGAGGCCATTCCTTCGATCGACTGATTTCAATATCGGCTAGACCCGGCCTCTTTCCATGCAGAAAATGCATTACAATCCATATTATAAAATAAACTATACGTTATTATAATTAAGTTTATAACCTAAATAAAAGTTTCTATATAATTTTTTTTTTATAAAAAAATGTATTGGCTAAAATTACCGTGGGCGTAGTTCTTCCATAATCCATGTTATAACAGGATCGACAGTCAAATTATAACATAATATTATCGTTGGTAATCGAGTACATAACTAGACAAAAAAGTTTCTAATAATATAAAGAATATAATTTCTAATAGAATAAAAAAAATATAAACTAAATAATAAAAATAATAATATGTGAACCGTACATAAATTATACTCTACTTATTAATATATTAAGTAAACCACAATTTGACTAATAATTTAAGTACATCTAATATTCGTTTAATTCATTTTGGAAATTACATCGTAAAAATATAAAATGAGTATACATCATCATACATACATACATACATACATACATACATACATACATACATACATACATACATACATACATACATACATACATACATACATACATACATACATACATATTAACGCGCAAAATCGAGTTGACCCGCCAGACACTAAAAACACGTACTTCTGAACCCATGAGTACGTGCTTGATTGTATTTGGTTCGGTTCTATGGGTCAGATGGACCGATAATAAACTAACAAATTATATGAACTTTGACTTTTAATTGAATTCATATCCGTAATATTTTATTCCCTTTATTCGATTACGACTTTTAATAAATCCGTTAAAACTTTGAAATTTGGAATTCATTTCCTGTTATTCAATTAAAACAAATGAAAGTCATTGAAGCGATGATTTCTAAAAATATACCGAAAATTGTTATTTTAAATAAGAGTTTTAAAATTGAAATTTTATTGGATTAATGATTCCTTAACACAGCTTAAAAAATATAAGGTTGAAATTTTGGAGGGGTGGGGGGCATTATGAACATTATTTAAATATAGC